TAATAGGAAAGTAGGATTTGCTTTTTAGAAATTAATTATAAAGAGGACTTCTGAAATACAGTAGTAATCATGGAAGTTGCGAAATGCTTGTACTTTTTTCTTTTTGTAAGATAATTGTAAGTGTCATGGTGATGTTTCTTTCAAAGCATCTGCTCATAATTATAAATGCTTAGAGAAAGACAGGAAGAGTCTTTTCCCTGCTTTTTGCTGCAGAGCAATGTCTTCGTTGCAGCATAAACAAAATAAAATAGAATAATATATTTTTCAGTCATTTTGTGCCCAACAACTCTCATTTTGATGTTTTTACTTGACACCTATATTAAATGTGTTGAAGTAACTGTTAATATTGAAATTACTGGTATAAGAGATGTTCAGAATTTTTGTGTATCATGTCCTTTATCATCATCTACCTTCTATCTACTAATAAACAATTTAATTCTTGTTAGAAAATACTCAAAAAATAATTTGTGTGGAGTATTACATTTCGTGACAGTGGAAGCCACCTCTTTTAAAGGTCTCTTGAGATTCCAGTTATCTTCTTGAAACTGTGGGCTTTGGATTGACTTCACCATTGCTCCTCCTTGATTGAATCTGTAAGCTCGCATCCTGAGAAGTACAGGGAAGAGGAAAGTAAAATGACAAAGATGTGCCCTTTGGATGGACAGGAACAGAATTCTTTGATAACTTAATCAAGGATATTTTTGTTGTAGAAGAGTGTATAGAAGCCATATTTCAGTAGTCTAAATTATGTGTTATGGAATGGTAGAGATAGAAGTTATATGTGGGAGATACAGGTTAAATGAAGTACCTCTCTTACCCTCTAACCTTTTTTTCTTTTAAGGTGCAAATGCTTGAACATGTTTATATTCAATGGAAAAGAGTCAGTATCCATTTTAGAAAGAGGAAAACATATAGAGAGATGATAAATGGGGCAATTGAGCAAGATCCTCAAAATTACTGTGGATGAATGTGGGGTCCAGTTTACTCATACAGTAGAGTAGGAGGATTAGCCTCCTACTAATGTTAAATGTTAAAAGAAATGGGCAATGTAGCTATAGATTATGAATGGCAGTGGACAAAAATTTGGGAATTCTTTCTTGATGACTTATGTCAGTATTTTTTGACTTATGATCTCCAAAATATTGGTAATCCTCTTGGTTTATATATGGTCCACAATGAGTTTAGTAGTTTCAGGAAAAAAGTAATGCAACAGTTTGGTTTGCACACAGCTCACAAAATTGAAATGTCTTCTCATTGTCATACTATTACTACTATTAGCTTTTTTTAACCCCAAAATTTCGATGAACCTTTGGAACAAGATTACCCTAACATTATTTGTCCATGTACACATCATATTTCCCTCAAGTGATCCTTGGATACTGAAAGCTTGAGAAACAGACTGTTTTTTATACTCATTTGAATTTGAAAAACTATCTGGACTGGTGTGACAAGGAATGAATTAACAAGGGATGGTTATTTTTGCATTCAAGGTGTCCCTTAGAGCTTAAGTTGGCCTTAGATGAATTCTTTCTG